ATTTTTTTTTTTAGTGCAAAAAAAAAAAAAAAAAAAAAAAAAGAAGGCCCGAGTTTTATAATCTTCAAAAACTGGATTTTTGCTGATGGTTCTACTCCTATTCTCCTATTCACAGAATAAGTGCAATGTGGGTTACGCCTTCATCAATATGGTGTCTCCTTCTCACATTATATCCTTCTACAAGGTTAGTTTTGGTCCCTGTTTTACTGTCTTATTTGTTAAAAAGTTTGCAAGAAATCCTTGAAACACCGAGGATTTTCATCTGCTGCGGTAAAATTTAAAGCAACCAGTTAGGCTTTAAACCAACGAGTTTGTGCAGGCATTTAATGGAAAAAAGTGGGAGAAGTTCAATAGCGAAAAGGTTGCTTCATTGGCATATGCCCGAATCCAGGGTAAGGCTGCACTTGTAACACACTTCCAAAATTCAAGTCTCATGAATGAAGACAAGCGATGTCGGCCAATTCTCTTCCACTCAGAGGGCCAAGAGACTGGCGATCAGGTAATATATTTTAATTGATCTCTTTCCCCTTGCTGTTACCTCCTATTTTGTTTGTATTCTATAAATGTTTTTTCACTAATAAGAAAAGCTTTTCAATTCATGAAGGGTTTTTTTCGGAGTTATTATTTCTTGTAGTCTTCTAAAAACCCTATTGACCCTATATATATGGTTTCAAATACTCCAGGAGCCTTTCATTTCTTGCAATTTGAACATATGCATCCGTCAGCCAGACGGGTCTTATATAGGGGATCCACTTGACAGTCCAAAGGAAAGTCTGGATGAAAAGGCTGAGAATTAACAACGTACCAATGATCCTACTCTTAGCCTTATGAAATGGGGAGTAGGGTGCTAACTGTTTCATAGGTATTTAAGTGTATATTGTAGAGAAGCCGACGAATTGCGACATCAGTGTCAGTGTTCATACCACGGTGGTGTCCACTTTTTAAGTTAAGGATACTTCATATTATTCATGGAAAAGTAAGTATTGCAGGGAACGAGGCAGAGAGCCTTTTGTTGTTATGTAGAGTGACAAATTGATATTCAACCAGAGGAGAAGAATAAGGTGAAGCATATTGCTGAAATTGTGAAGTCTTTCTGCAGCCATATGCGTTGCTCGCCGGTTTGTGCAGTGTCTCTCCTTTGGAATTTTTCTTTTTCTAATGCACTTCTCGTTCCGGATCTTTGAAATCCATTTGCAAATATCTTTTTGTTAATATCAATAATTTAGAGTTTAGGGGGCTGTCAAAATTTGTATAGAAGTGGGGGGAGAAAAGACTGAGCCATCCTGTTCCTGTGCTAGTGTTGTGTAGAGGAAGAAACGTGAATCGGATGATATAAGTCTTGTACAGATGTTTTATGACTCCATTTCTGTCTCTTTATTTCATCGTCTTAATACAGCATGTTCTACCAGATTTTTTCACTGCACATTTTCACTGATGAGAACTAAGAACAAGAATTAAGAACTAAAAGGCTACATATTGTACATCTTATGTTCGGATGCATATTGCATCCCGCGCTTTGGGATGTATGTGCAGCCGGGATGAACAGATATAAAAAGGATGTTTTGTATCACTTCGTTCTTCAATTTTTTTTATGATATGATATTCAATAGTTGAAAATGGAACAACATTTTGTAATGTATTGTTTCTATTAAGGAGTTTTTGGCTTTTCAGCTGATTCTTAAAACAGTGTTTCCAGGATTGCAAATGCAATAATGTCGCTCATGGTTATTGATGAGATCCTAGAACTTCCACCTCAGCTGTTCATTTGGCATCACGCTAGAAAACCAAAACCAAAGCCTTGTATCGTAATTTAAACGTTTTATTGCAATGTTTTTTCTCACAAAAATTAATTTCTTTTTTTTTTGTTACAATATTTTTTCTCACATAAATTCACTTTTTAATTAAAACTTTCAATTCAAACGTGGGAAACAAACGTTTATGTTTGCTTGTTCATTGAGAGCTCCCTTTTTTGTGTTTTCATGTTTGTTTTCTTCTTGATAATTCAGCTAGAAGCCGATCTCAATCAACATGCATTTTTTCTGCGTTGTCTAAATGGAAAGGAAATATTGCGGTCATGTTTGTAATCTGTAAGTTTGATTATTCCACACCATGAGGGAATTTACCATAGACGGTAATTTCTGTAGCAAATCGGTATCAATTATGGATGTTAATAGTAACAGAAAGCGAGAAATACGCTTTCAAAACAAGAGTCAAGCCACAGCTACTTTTCCTTTCCCAAGCAACGATGACATATGGATGATGTCCCACTACTTTCAAGTTTGTAGAGCTTCGGAAATAGATCCTGCAAGGCTTAAAACTTCGAAAGGAGCTCTGTTTGCTATGGCTTTGACGGTAAGCGGGCAGGAATCTGTGATCCAAAAGTAGGCAAATGCCTTCTCCAACCCTAAAAATGGAGCAAAATACCAATAAGATCACGCTACAATGTAGAGGTGCCTAAAAGTTTCCATCTTTACAAAAAAAAGAAAAAGTAATTACCATCTTTGTGGGTGAACCGCCCATCCTCAGTAGTTACCATCTTTGTGTGTGAACCGCTCCCATGAACGCTTAGGAAAGACGCCGTGAGTCACGTAGGCACTAACCTTGGAGGCACCATGAGCCGCCAATACTTTCTGGAAGAAAAGCAGAGGCAATTTGCAAGTTTTCAACAAGCTTACGCAGTGCACAAATTGAGGTGTTTTTCAGTTATGTACAGTATATGAAAATGACACCATATTCAAAAAAATTGGAAGAATTTTTTCTATCTTATGTGAAGGGCTCGTAAGATGATGCTTCAAAAGGATATCCACTGATAAAATTACCTGGCACTCAATCAGCGTCCCTCCAGATTGGACCAAATCATCAACAATCACAACATGGTAACCAGCAGGATTTCCCTCCTTGATTCGAACTATCCTCTTATCGCCTTCGCGAACCTTATTGCATACCACCTGCCATTTGATAAAAATTAGATAAGCTATATAACATAAGCTATGGAGCTACTCAATAGCATTCTTTAGCAAAATCCAAGACCAACCATGGGAAAATGATCCAACTGCTTGTGAAATCGTTTCCAAGCACCGTCGTCGGGAAATGCAACAACTATCTGGGATAGGACAATAATTAGGATGAAGATCAGGGACAGTGATAACAGAACAAGTGACTAACCATTTACCATAGGAAGATAAGGGATTGTGGTGTAAACAGTAAGAGAAGTGTACCTTGTCAGAATCAGGAAGCTGGTGCAGGCGTTGCTTTAAGAGAGGAATGCCCGTCTCAAACAAAGGCAAAACATGGTCCCCGAAGTAAAACCTTTCCTGTGTTACAAGAGAACATGACCGCGTGAGCATTTACCAAAAGAAATAAGCGGGCTTAGAAAATATGGAGAGTTATACTCATTAAAATCGCAGAGACTCCTAACGTCATAACAATAAAGGCAAATGGTCATGCATCAAAACATGAAACAACAAGAAAATGAAATAACACCATTCAAAAGAATTGGAGAGTGCTAATGATTCACTGTTAATTTTTTACTACTTGCATGCATGAAGTTGTCCGTGAGTTTCTGTTCATCAATCGGATGTTTTTGTAAAATAGGTATCCTTGTCTTACGAGCATAAGAACAACAATCATAACATATTTTTAATAGACTAACTCGTGATTTTACACTAAGGGAGTTCTAATTTGGCTGATTGGAATCAATTCAAAAGATGGGAAAAGGTATAGAAATAGCCTAGAATTGAATTCATCAGCAACCAACCAAAATAAGAGTGTGTTATAAGTTACTCTTAAAGGATGGACGAATGGCAATCATGCTTCAAACGCCACAATAGAAAAGATATAAATGAACAACAAAAGATGGTACACACGCTGCTAATTGTGTCAATAGACCAATAAACGTCTAAGCAGCATCACTATACATAAAAGTAAACTTTCAGGAAACACCGAGCAACCTGAATTTTTCATCCCAACAGAAATAAACAAATTATTAGCGAGTAATAAAAGAAAATATGACAATCACTTGAAGCCTAAAACAAACCTGCAAAGCATGTATATCATATATGACCAAACTAGTGGGGCCTCCTCTTGAAATGGGAATATTTGACAACATCCTGGCAAGGGTAAAAGCAGTGGCAACATCCCCTTCTTCTTCCATTCGCTCAAAGGAACCAGTTGGGAAAAAAGGCAATACCAAAGTAAAGGAGGCAACAAAAAGTCGTGGCAGTGCATAAATCACAGAAAGTTGTTCGAAGATAACTCCTTGGGAGCTGAAGGATGCCAGAAAGGCAACATGTTGACCTCTAAGTACTTGAGCATTGTTTATAAAAATGTTGGGAAATCCATCATCAAAACTCCTGTTTACATATGAAACCATTCAGTATCACAAATTATCTTACATAACACACACCTTTCTATTGTTTAATTTTGAAGCCGAAAATAAAAGACCAGCACAGAAAACTTTTATAAGTTTTGAGGTTAGCCAATCTTTATAAGTTTTGTGAGTAAATGGACAGTAAACTCTATGCCTTCAAATTAATTTTAAAAAGAATGGAAAACCGTTCATAAGCCCATTCATAAGCTCCTAGACGTCCAAGACCGCTAATCCTCTGCAGAAATATTCTTAAAGCACTTCCATGCTTAATCAAAACTATCATCCCAACCACCAGCGATTTGGCGGGGTAGTAAGGCTATTTGTTCTCCAAAACAAGGTTTTAGTTCAGGTCGGTTTCACAATGGTGGGCGGGGTATATAGGCCACCCACTTTGTAAGAGATTGATACACTCCCTCCCTACAGTTATCTGGGTATACCACCCTCTATTGTTCCTTAACGATATATGTACGTATGTATGTATGTATGTATGTATTATATCAATATATCACGAGAAGATCATGTTGATTCCATGTGTCAGCATCGATGTCTATGACAACTGTATAAATGGCTGAAAGGCTTGAAGCTTACACAATAAATCAGTATTGAATCAGGTGAAATACAAAACAAAAGTTCCTTCTTTTTACAACTAGTTAGTTGAAGAGCAGAGGTCTTATCTCTTATAGTGATATGTTCTCGGCACAAAAAGAAAAAAAAAATCTGAGTAACGAAATGAGTGAAATTATTCACATTAATCCTATTTTAATTACCCCAGTCAAGAGACTACATGATACGCGCACACAGAGAGGACAGAAAAGTGGTGTAGATGATGGTTCTGGACCACTTTTATGACTAACTGAAACATTAAAACATCTCTACTTCTCATTATAATTCCTTTCTAACAACCAATACAAGCCAATTTAAATTGCAAGTAAAAGACAATGTACCAATCCAATTCCACCCGATTATAATATGCAACCTCAAAAAGATGCTACCAAATTGAAATGCTTCATTTTCACTCAGGAATACAGATCAAATTTTTGGAAACTCCAAACACCATCAAGCAAAAATCTTTCAAGTATTAAGAAAACTAAAACACCCAGCTTTTCTTTTTCATAAATGAGCTGAGAAGAAAAGTGCCCATTTTAATTCCATAACCAAAAAGATAAATAGAGCATATTAACAGACAAAACATGTGAAGTAAGCATATGGGTATGTTTAGTTAGAGTCTGTATGAGAGAGAGAGAGAGGGAGAGAGAGAGAGAGAGAGAGAGAGAGAGAGAGAGAGAGAGAGAGAGAGAGAGAGAGAGAGACCTCCATTTGATGGTCTGAAGGGTAATGAAGTCAGATTGAGAAGCAACTTTCTGGGCAAGGTCTTCACATTCGGAACAGTAGAAGAGGTAAACCTGCTTCTTCTGAGACACCTCCATTTCCTTTAAGAAGAACAACCCAGAGAGAGAGAGAGAGAGAGAGAGGAGGTTCAACAACTGAGTCGAGGTGAGCGAAGTAGTTTTCTAGGCCGGAGTTTCGCGCGCAGAGAGGGAGGCGAGGCGGCTTGGGTTTTTAGAGCGGCTTCTCTATATAGCCCGGGGGG